TACACCAATGTCGTTATTAATGTGGGCAGGGCCAGGTGCTCTGACAGCCAACAAAGTAAATGCTCATATGTCCTGCTAACTAGGAGTTTTCTTAGTACCAGGCTAATCACAGGTATTCATTCATTTCTTCAGAATCAGGTACCTAGAGAAATAAGATTATCTGACTCTCAGAGACACCAGAACCATGTAATATTGACATTGGATGACCATCCTCTCCCCCTACTGTGGAAAAAATAACAGTGGAATGTCTCAGTAGGGTGCCAGGATTTTAAAATGTATACCATTCCTAAAGAAAGATGATCCAACAATGTGGGAATTATCAAGCAATATTGTTAATATCACGTGCAAGTAAAATTTTACTGAAGATAATTCGGAAACAGTTGAAGGTAGTACATTGACAGAGACCTGCCAGAAATTCATGCCAGCTTTATAAAAGGATACGGAACAAGAAGAACCATTACTGATATCAGAGGGATCTTGGGTGGAAGCAGGGAATACCAGAAAGATGTTTACCTGTATTTCATTAACTATGCAAAAATATTCAACTGTGTAGATAATAACAACTTATAGATAACATGGCAAAGAATGGGAATTCCGCAACACTTGTGTTCATGTGGAACCAAGAAGCAGTCATTTGAACAGAACAAAGGATAGCGCATAGTTGAAAATCAGAAAAGGTGCATACTTGTCAATCTGTACACTGAGCAGATAGTCTGAGAAGCTGGACCATATGAAGAACACATCATCAGAATTAGACGAAAACTCATTAATAACCTGCGACACACAGATGACACAATATTGCTTGCTGAAAGTGAAGAGGACTTGATTAATGAAGATCAAATACAATAGCCTTCAGTATGGATTACACCTCAATGTGAAGAAAACAAAACTTCTCACAACTGAACTGATAAGCAACATTATGATAAATGGAGAAAGTTTTGAAGTTGTCAAGGATTTCATTTGACTTGGGCCCACAATCAACACCCATGGACACTGCAGTCAAGAAATCAAATGATGGACAAATCTGCAAAAGACTTCTATAAAGTGTTAAGAATTAATTTGAGGACAAATGCACACCTGACCTAAACCATGGTATCTTCCAATGCCTCATATTTTTGTGAAAGCTGGACAGTGAATAAGTAGGGAAGCAGAAGAATCAGTACCTTTGAATTATGATTTTGGCCAAGAACATTGAATAGACTGTGGGCTGCCAGAAGAACAAACAAATCTGAGAAGTACAGCCAGAATGTTCTTAGAAGGGAGGATGGCAAGACTTCCTCTCTAGTACCTTGGACATGTTATCAGAAGGGATCAGTCCCTGGAGAAGGACATCATGCTTGCTAAAGTAAGTCAGAGAAAAAGAAGAAAATCTTCAGGAGATGGAGTGACACAGTGACCTCAGCAATAGGCTCAAGCATAAAAATGACTGTGCATATGGCACCCACTGAGGCAGTGTTTTATTCTCTTGTACGTGAGTGACTATGAGGCGGAACTGACTTCACCTAATAAGAACAGCAATCAAGATCTACATATTTGCCCTAGCTGCCCTTCAGGTCTGGAATTGAACCCACACCTGTGGTTTCCAGCCAAAGAGAATACCGGCATGTGAGTTAAACATTTGCCTCAAGTAGATACATGCCTTGGAGAGAACAATCATGGGAGAAAGAAGAGCTGTTTATGCACAGGGAGACAGCTCAGGGGGCAGGAGTCCACGGAGGGATGGACACTGGGAAGAGGTAACTCTGGGAAGGAAGTGGGAGGGGAGCTGTTGCATTGTGGTAAACTGTGGCCAATGACATGAGACAAAGTATATGTGAACTGCTATATGGAAAGTGAATTTGCTCTGTAAATCTTCACCCAAATCACAATTAAAAAAAAAAAAAAAAGATCCAGATATTTGGAGGCTAAATGCGTATAAATTGTCCTTTTACATTAACAGTGTTAACAAGAAATAAATTCATTCCTGCATCCAAAACCCTACTTCCTGAGTATAGAGATTTATTTTGTGTACATGTGGAAATGAGTTTCATCTCTGTCTTGTAGTTTATAAAGTCTGTTTTTGCCATATTGAGGAGCATATCATGGTCAAACTTTCCTGTTTTATTTTTTTTAGGGATTAAAGAAATCTCTAAGTTTGTTATAAGTTTAATACCATCTGTAGTTTAATATTGAAGATCTGTATAGAAGTTAGAGAAGATACTTTCAGTTACATGGTTTTATTTTTCATACATTTGTCAATAAGTTGTTCTTCCCATTATTTAAAGTTTGTTATGACATATTACCAAGGAGCTTTGGTGCTGCAGTGCCTAAGGCATTTGACTGCTAACCAGAAGGTTGTTGGTTCAAATCCACTAGCCACTCCAACAGAAGGAAGATGAGGTAATCTATTTCTGTAAAGATTTACTGCCTCAGAAATCCAATGGGGGTTGCTATGAGTTGGAATCCACTCAGTGGCAGTGGGTTTGGGTATTTGGTTTTTATAACAAAGTACCAGTACCTTAAAAATTGTAAACTGAGTTCAAATTCTGAGGCAATTTGCTTTAAACTTCTCTTCTTTCTACTTTCTGATATATTTGTAGATAAAGTTGCTTGTATCTTTTATTTCACCCTATAAATCCTATATATAATGAATCACTTATTTGTGAAGATTGCAAATCCCTATAGAGAAGTAAGCAAACACAGGATGAAAGTAACAAACTTTTTTCACAGTGACCAAACAAGTGAAATTCATTTTCATATTTTATTTTATTTAGACGTTTCTTTTTGTTATTGCTATTATTGATGCTATCTTCTCCTTTTAAAACTTCTGAATCACGTTTTTGAAAGTAGCACTTTCCATGCTTTTTTTTCTTGGATACTAAATATCCAATACAATTACATTTTTTGTTTACATGTTTACTATTTATTTTGTTTATTTCTTTGGAATGTAAATTATTGGCTATTTATTTTGCTTATTGTAGTCATAATGCACTGGTCCTTCTATATGTTTCTTAGGAAAATTCAATTTTTAAAAGTTTTCTTTAAGAAATATTTTCAAAGTTTCGTTTTAAGTAAGTCTGCACATTTCACTGGTATCCCTATTTAAGGTATTTATTAAATTACTGTTTCCATTGTGACACAGTTCTTATTCATTGTGTTTGTAAATATAATTAGGGATGTCAAAAGAAAATCTTTATAAATTAGATCACATGCTAAATGTAAAAATTAATACAGTTAGCTATTTTGTGAAAATTAACCTATGGTTCAGTTCATTTGCCAAATTAACAATTAAATATACTGCAATTTCTAGGGTATGAATCTGTCATTTATAAATTTCTTTTATTCACATCAGCAAGTTGATAAACTTATTATTCCTGTATTGAAATGAAAAGAGACATTGATTTGAATTAACACTAAATGCATTATACAGTATCTCTTTTAAACAATCAGACTATCTGATTTAATGATTAAGAATTTAATAGGTCATACAATTCCTGATAAATGAGTTAATAATACCACCAGCCACTTTCATAATTAATTATCAAGAGTCTATTCTTACTCAACAACTTCTTTAAGGCTAAGTAAACATGATCTTAATTAAACTCAACAGATAATGCTAAGAGATGTTGATTAGTCTAGTAAGGAGAATAAAGTGATGCTGCCTGACCTTAAGAAATGATAAATATAGGATATTGACAAATGATAATAAGCAGCAAACATCTAAGAGAAAGGGTTAGCTTCCAGGTCAATATTGGTGAAAGAAATCACATTGATTTCAAAATGTAGTATTTGATTATTTAGAAATGTTCTTTTTAAATATTTTATACAATCTCAAAATATGTCCACTCATTATGCATAATGTAGAATTGTGAAGTCAGGTGAAAAATTCCTCTTTCAGAGACCTAGTACACCAGAGGTATGTTTTGAGTTAACAATTAAAATGCTTAATGCTTGATGAAGGCTGAGGGGATCCCCATCTATAGAAGAATGGAGTCACTTTGCCCAGAAGTTTGCTGTAGGTGAATTTGGTGAGGTAACTTGCTGGTTTTATCACATTTTTCTAACTGTTGTACTAAATGAAGTGCCAGTCTGTATTGAAGAAAAGCAAATGAAAATGAGATTATATTCCCTTCACCTTCAACTACTTTTGTATTTGTCTTACTTTTTAAGGCTTGTGAAAGGTACTCTGAAATCAAATTAACAATTTTAGAACTTCCTATTTATCAAAAACAGGAAGAGATACTTGTCCTGTGCTTGTATGTAGCCATTTATTAAATGGCTCAGGACCTGACAACCATTTTGTTCTCTTCTACGTAAGGTCACCATGAGTTCGCGTCAACTCAGTGGCAACTAGCAACGAACACAACCCAGGGCAGTACCAGTAGTAGTATGCCTGACAAAAGGGGCCGTCACCATTATTTTCATACAAACTGGAATCTGTTCTTAAGATTTCAAAATATTTACCTTAATAAGGAATTTGAATGCAATATACACATGGAAAAATGAGCAAGTAGTGAAATACATTTATCTTGGGCATGAATGTTCTCTTGACAAAAGGCACAAATATGAAATTTGTCTAAATAATTAGGTTTTTAATTAGTGCATCATTGTAAGATTAATGTCATTGCGCTTCATTGCATGTAATTTTGTATTAGAAATTTCATGTCAACAAAGATGCTACCTGTAGTTTGCTGATTTGAATCTTTAATTTATTACTTCTGTATATGGCATGTCACATATTTGCAGTCAAGAGCTGAAAGAAGGCATTTGATTACAGCTTCACTGGTGGTGAGGAATATTGATGATGCTATGCTATATGAATGCATTATATTTGCTAATACTCAAGATGCAGGCATCCCTCAAGGATGGTGAGTGCACATTAACTTGCGGTAATTTTAGCAATGACGTGAGGAGATAGGTTGATAAGCATAGCATATGCCTACTTTGAATATACTTGAATATTATTGATGCTATCTTCTCTTTTTCAAAACGTTTTTCTTTCTTTCCTTTCCTCTTGACAGTTGCCGAACAAGCAACCGGAAAAGCTTGATAGGCAATGGACAGTCACCAGCATTGCCTCGACCACACTCGCCTCTCTCTGCTCATGCAGGTAACTAACTCATTACCCATGTTTGGGTTTTGTTTTACTTCTCTTTGATAGTTTTTAAAATAACCCAGACATTTTGAAAATTCAAGTGCGTATTTTCATCTTGTTATCTTAGTTTTCCTATTGTTTTATTCCATGTTATTCTTTCTGATGGGTTAACACAAACCTTATTCTTTCTTTGACAACTTAGACTATAGAATATATAATTTCTTTTTCTAGGGGTCAGTTCTATTTCATTTATTTCTCTCACTATTTCTGAATTTTTAGACAGTGCAAGACATGTTTGTATATTACCATAATCTTTGGGATACACAGAGAATATAGCTCCCATGAATGGTGTTAATGTTAGCCGACTGTCAACGTTTTTCTCCCTAAATTTGAACTTGTGTGTTGTATTGAGATAGGCATTAGAGAGACTATGAAGGTTCCAGACATGAGATCCTTGGCCTCAAATGCTTTATGGAATTTTAAGAAGGCTTTTACAGGCAATGAAGACTGGCTGTATGTACTGTTTTGTTGTTGCTTGATGTTCTGTCCAAGGTGGTGCAAAGAAGGGAAGGGCTCATTCCAATGAGGGAACTCTGGGAGAGTTTGAAGGAGCCACTTGCCCAAGATGTTGAGAGGTGATAGGCTAGGCTTTGGCAGATAAAAATTGGGTCAGAGAAACAGAATTCCCAGTGTACAGCTAACGTGGAGTGCATGTGGGTGATTGATTGTATGGAAGAAGAGATAAACAAGGCATGTGGAGGTCAGAGAATGGAAGGACTTTTTACTTTGAGTGCCTTTCAAGGATTTTGAGGAGGGTCTGTGTTTTAGGAAGGTAACTTAAGCAATAGGAAAGATAATAGACACAAAGATGGAAAGATTAAGTTCTATCTCCACTGCACTCTTAAGAAAACTCTAATATGATATTGGTGTGTTCTGAGATGATGTGGGCTTTATATTTAAAGGTAGGGCTGTCACTCTGCCCCAAAAGATAATCCTGGAGCTCAAGGGAACTTCTGCATTGAGAGCAGGAGTCTTCTGTGATATGTTTGAGGGAAAAATAAAAAAAAGAGAAAAAGGTAGTCACATACCTTTCACATGAAATTTTAGTTTCCTTATCGCAATAAGTAAAAGAAGGTTAAATAAAAAGTTAAGAGATACATTGAGAAAATTGCAATACCATAAAAAATCCACTAAAGTCAAGAAATGCCATTCCCAGGTAAAACCTTAGAGAAACTCTGCCCCCTCCCCCCCCACACACACACACAGGAGAATATGTGGTCTAGGCCTCATGTAATAGCATTGTTTGTAATAGCTACATATTGTGGATGTAGCCTAAATATCAATCAACTAGAAAATGGATAACGTAGTCATCCATGGAACACTATGCAGCATAGAAAACAGGTGAAGTGGAACTAGCTCTGTCTACATGGGTGAAACTCAAATACAATGTTAGGGGGAGACAAGAGTTACAAAAGAATATTATTTAACTATGGTGGTTGCTCAAAAAATTAAAAATAAAATTGTCATATGACCCAGCAATTCCACTCCTAGGGTTTGTACCAATTGAAAGCAGGATCTCAAAGAGATACTTGTATACCAGCGCTCTGCAGCATTATTCACAATAGCCAGAAGGTAGAAATAACCCAAGTTTCCATCAGCAGATGAATGGATAAATAAAATGTGATGTATATGTACAATGAAACATTATTTAGCCATGAAGACAAATGAAGTTCTGATAACATGCTACAACATGGATAAACCTTGAAAATCTTATGGTGAATGAAATAAGTCTGGCACAAAAGGACAAATACAGTATGATCTCACTTGTATGAAATATCCAGAATAGGCCAACGTGTACAGACTAAGGTTCTGTAGTGGTTACCGATTTAGGTAGGAGTGGGAGATGGAGAGCTATTGATTAAGGGTACTGTTAATTTTCTATTAAGAGCAATGAAAACAATTGGAAATGAATAGTGGTGATGGTTACACAATATGGTCAACATTATTATCACTAAATTGTACACATAACAGATGGTTGAAATGGCAATTATTTCATTATATATATTTCATCACAATAAAAATTTTAAAAAAGATGGATCAGTATTTAAAAAATAATAACAAGAAAGATGAGAATATTGTTTAAACCATTCATAGAAAGATAGCCTATAAATGGTTTCCGCTCAACTGCTAATCTGACAGTTGGTGGTTCAAACCCACCCACCAGTTCTGTGGAAGAAAAGGCCTGCTGATCTGCTTCTATTAAGACTGCAGCCAAGAAAACCCTATGGAGCAGTTGTGCTCTAACACATGGGGTCACCGTGAGTTCTCATTGATTCAACAGCACCTAACAGCAACAATACTACCTTTGTGTAGTAAGAGTCTAAACAAAACCATTAAAAACCCATGGTCATCAAGTTAATTCAGCTTATAATGACTCTGAAGGACAGAGTAGAATGAAAACACAGTAATTTTTTTTTTAATTGTGATTTGGATGAAATTTTACAGAGCAAATTCATTTTCCATACAGCACTACATACACATTTTGTTTTATGACATTGGTTGCAATCCCCATAATGTAACAGCTACCTTCCCACTTTTCCCTGTGGTTACTGTTTGCCTTTGTCCTCCTTTCCTGTACCTTCCTGCCCGCTGAGCTATCTTCCTGCACAAATACTACCCTGTTGTTGTTGTTGTCAGGTGCTATCAAGTTGTCTCTGACTCAGAACAACCCTATGTACAACAGAACGAAACACTGCCTGGTCCTGTGCCAGCCTCACGGTCCCTGTTATACCTGAGCCCATAGTTGCAGCCACTGTGTCAATCAATCCATCTTGTTCAGGGCCTTCCCCTTTTTTGTTGACCTTCCACTTTACCACACATGATATCTTTCTCCAGGGAATGGTCCCTTCTGACAACATGACCAAAGTAGGTGAGATGAAGTCTGACAATTCTCACTTCCAGGGAGCATTCCAGCTGCACTTCTTCCAGGACAGATATGTTAGTTCTTTCAGCAATCCATGGTACTCTCAGTATTCTTTGCCAACGCCATTACCCTACTGATCTCCAATAATTGATCATTCTAGGAAGAGTACCTAGCCTGGTATAAATGTTCACCTTGTAAGCCTGTATATAAATCATAGTAATTTTGAAGACCATTGTCATGATAGTGGGAACTCTGGTGGCATAGTGCCTAAGGCATTTGACTACTAACCAGAAGGCTGGCATTCAACCCACCAGCTGCTCCTCAGAAGGGAGCTTGGGCAATCTACTTCACTACAAAAGTAGGGATACCACCTCGGAAACCCAAGGAGGGGTCGCTGTGAGTCAGACACCACTCAATGACAGTGAGTTTGGTGGGTTTTTTTTTTTTTTCTTTCTTTCTTTTTTTCTTTTTTTGTCATTATAGTAGTCACCTCTAAGTAGTGAGGGAAATAGAATTGGGGGAAAGGGATCAACAGTTGGCAGTATTTCATTTCTAAAGCTGTGTGATAGTATACAACTTTTTATATTATTATCTTTTATACATTTGAGATCTACATTACATTAGCATCACAGTAGTAAAAGTCTACAAGAGGATCAAGCAAGACCACTACTCAGGGGCTGGAACTTATATTTTTATCTTTATATTACCCTAGCACCCAGCACAAAACCTGGCAATATATACTGGATACTAAGTGAATGATGAATTATATTCCCTGTATATAATTCTATTGTTGTTGTTGTTGTTATGTGCCATCGAGTCAAACCCGACTCGTAGCGACCCCTCCTTGGGTTTCCCAGGCAGTATCACCAAGGAAGTAGGATTGCCCAACCTTCCTTCCGAGGAGTGTCTGGTGGGTTTGAACCGCCAGCCGTCTGGTTAGCAGGCAAGTGTCTTAGCCACTATAATTCGATACGGATTTAAATTTTTTTGATTTTACTCCTTTTGATAGTGTTCTGTAGTAATTGCACCATCCTTTATATGTTGTTGTTGTTGTTGTTATGTGCTGTCGAGTCGGCCCCGACTCATAGCGACCCCTCCTTGGGTTTCCGAGGCAGTATCACTACGGAAGTAGGATTGCCCAACCTTCCTTCCGAGGAGTGGCTGGTGGGTTTGAACCGCCAGCCGTCTGGTTAGCAGGCAAGTGCCTTAGCCACTATGCTACCAGAGCTCCCATCCTTTATATACTCATTGGTTATTCTTTTATTGCTATGATTTTCTTCATTTATAATGCCAAGAAGTGAGAAAATGTGGTTAAGACCTTAATGATCCTTTTAATTATTTTTCTTTTCTATATATAGAGTGAGGGAGCTCTGGTGGCATGGTGCCTAAGGCATTTGACTGCTAACCAGAAGACTGGTAGTTCATACCCACCAGTCACTCCTCAGTAGGAAGGTTGGGCAATATACTTCCCTAGCGACAGAAACCCAAGGAGGGGTTGCTATGAGTCAGGTCCAACTCAAAGGCAGTGTGTTTATTTTTTTATATATAAAGTGAGTATGAATTCTTTTCCCTTTAATTAGCATTTCAGTATTTAATCAGAGGAGTGGGCAGAGAGAAGCCTGCCTTTCAGGTTCTGAGAGTATTTTTCCATATGTTATGGAGCCAACAGGTTGTTATTCGCTCAGAGGCAGAAGTCTGTCAGAGTTTTTGTGAGAAGTGGCATTTATCACAGTCTGGTGGATTCCTCCTTTTGTATAAAAAGAAACAGATGACAAATGTCTATGAAATTGAGGACCAGTCCTCATGTCTTCAATGATATGACATTCCTCTTTACTCATTGTGCCTTATACCTCTTAGTTTCTGTTTCTACATTTTATATCATGAGTGTGATTCACAGAATTCCAGGTAAGAGTCCTTAGATGACTCCTAGAAAAGTAACAGAAGGAAAAATTACCATCTCTCGGTTCTTATTAACCCCAAAAGATAAAGTTCCACTTTGTGGTTTTCATTGGAGGGGTTTATGTGAGTCAGACCACTCATCACTGACATGTGAACCTTCCCCACCAAATGAATCAGTGAGGATGGGAATACT